ATTTTTAAAAGATTGCAGTTTAAATGTTTTTAATACAGTCAAATAATACAAAAGATGAAAAGCTCACCCAATTTCTAATTTTGATATATTTTTTTTGATAAGTGAGATGATCGAAGGTCTTATAGTGTTCAATACATAGTGAAGATCGAATAATGTATTATACTGTAACTATTAACTAGTTTTTAACGTTATAGAAGGCCTCTCAACCACCCATAATACAGGTAATTAATAAACATGACCTTGAACCAAAGTATTTAAGTATTGACAGTAATTTGATAGAGCGGATTTCTTATGAGTGGGAAACGGACGGTACTGTACTGTGACCGTAATCGTACTGTAACCAAATTCTAGTGCCCCATTAGTTCACCAAAATTGTGCAGACCAGGTCTGGTAACTGTGCGGTAACCGTGCGGTAACGGTGTCCCACTCATACGAAATCCGCTCTATTGAATCATAAAAATCTAACCTCATCTGTGGCCATAAAAATGCACTTCATAATAATTCACTCAACATAATCAATCAATCAACCAACAAATCAGTCAATCAGTCCATTAATAATTCTTTCAGTCAGTCAGTCAGTCAGTCTGACAGTCACACAATCAATATATCAGTAATCAACTCAAAAGATGATGAAACAGACACCAATCAGTGTATGCAAATTATCACATTGAGCACAATGTTTTTTAATATTAATCAATAAAACATTTCATGAAACTTTCAAAACACAAATCAACATTTTTTTCCCATATAAATCCAAATACCAATGATGGCAAAATTATCAAAAGCTAAAAAAATAAACATATAAGCTTAAACAATTGAAATTTTTAGATTTTTTATAGCAATAAGAACTTCTGCAGTCAAGTAGCGGTAATTTCAATTATATTGATTAACAAAAAAATGTTCACAAAATCTGTAGGTGACGTCAGAAAATGATGAAAATAACTTGAAGACAGATGAGGAGATTTCACGGTGGAAGCAAGACACAGAGGAAAAACTCACAGAAGTTGATAAAGCCATCAAACCACTACCAAATAAGGTAAGACWATTAGATCACCAATACTTAACTATTATAATTTCTACTAACTCTTTTGAGTTATACAGTACTCATCTGCTTATAAAAACCTGAAATTTAAGAACGTGTTTGCCTAAAAATATCAAAACACCATTTACATATTAAGAACCTAGTATTTAGTCTAAAACTTGAAACAGGTATTATAGATAGGTTCAAACTGTAATGAACTTGAACATTTGGTATAAATAATGTTTGAAAACCTTTTAAATTTTCATTACATAAGGGATAAATAAGAACCTATTTAGCCTAAAATTCCACTAAAAAACATCATTTACATAAAAACCCGTTTAGGCTAAATTTGAAAAAATGGGTTCTTATAAGCAGGTAAGTACTGTAACTTACATTGCCTGGGTTCTCACCACATTGATGCAGGAGTTGTTATCAAAGGTCATGAAAGTTGGTGTGCTGGATTCTACTTGCTTTTGCTCTTGTTTTATTATTTACATTGTTGAGCTTCTTGACTTCCAATGTCGTCTTTTTATAACCCTAACTGAGTGTAGCCTGACACATAAAAATCTTTATAAAATTATCTGGTCCTCAGACGTCATAAAATCTTTAAATCCTTACAAAGCACAAGGCAAGCATTTGCCGATTCATAAATGTGAAGGAGATGAAGTCTTGCATCCACGTGCAAAAAATATTGAAAACTTGACAAAGTCTAGCATGCCTTATTCTTGCAAGTCTATTTTTGCAAGTCTTCCCCCTTTTTAAAAACTCTTTGTTATAAATACGTTGACATTTGTGAGTATAAACAGTGAGAGAGACTTGAAGCAAGTCTAGCAACTGAGGGACTGACGAAGTTCAGTTCTAAACTCATGAAGATAAAGTTAATGATGTATAAAAAATAATGATGTATTAAAACATGAGAGAGAGTGTTTTAAACGGCTTCAAAAACTCCAACACTAATTTGAAACTCAAATACGTTAAAATTCTTGGAGAAATTGCCGTAAAAATAAATTTTGAGGGAAATGGGGCAAACTGCTCGAATCACTTTACAAAGCACTCTTGTCATCCCACATTGAATATGCATAAAGTAAAATAGAACCGCTGTTGGCTGCAATCGGTTGACATCCTGCATTGGTCAATGATCAGGTATCAAACCTGAGACCTTTGCTAGGTTCATGGACCTTTATAGCTGATAAAGGTCATCCTTAGAGTACAAACATTAAATGTGTGCAATACTTTCCACTATTTACTACAAAATAGAACGATTTCACATAGCGATACAAAAAATGCAAATAGGTTTATCTTATGCAAATTTTATTGACTGTAAAATAAACTGCATGTAATGATGCAATACACGCTTCATTTTCTCAATTATTACAGCATTGTTTCCTATCTTATAATTGGATTTTATTGTCATTCACCATGAGCAAAACAAAACAGTCTTTTTTGAGCCCAAATATAATTACGGACTTGAGTTTTTGTTTGCCAGCCTTTGCACGGCTTTCTCAAAAATTAGTTGACACCCAAGAGACACCCAAGGTGGTTACTCCCTCCTGCCATTGACCTTGTGGTATTTTTGGCCGAAAGACGTATCAAGCTTTTTGAAAATATTTGAAGCTAAGCTTGTACTAGATGCTGCATGGTACAGTTCTGTATGTGCTATAATAGAAACTAGACGCTCAGAGAGCGCTTACATGGGCTTCCTGGAGCAATTTCCAATTGAGATGCATTTTCATGGAGAAAATAAAGTCTGGAGCCTATCTATTTTTCGATCAATATTTGATTTATTACTTTTCCATACAACCATTAATGAAGGTTTGTTTTCTAGCAAGGTTATTTTTTATTTGAGTATTAAAAATCTGTGTTTCAGGAACAATTCAGATTTAGAGAAGTTGCATTGCAAGTCACTTCTTACAATTGCAATGTAAATGTATTTGTTGTCCTATAAATATTGCAGGTTGTAATGATCAAATAAAAAAATAAAGTGATTTTGCAAAACAGCTCTCAACAATGTTTTGTGATTCTGCTATATTGTTTTTATCAGCTGTTTGATTGTTTGCTATAGCTATAACAGCAGTAGCAATTTTTATGCCTTAATTCAATGTTTCTGTAAACCCATTTAAACTTTGAAAAGACTGCACCAAATTGTTTGTAGACGATACATGAAATAGCACAAATTCCCTTGTGGATGACTTTTTCTATATTTCTCTAGCATGAGAGTCAAATACCTTATATGAGCAGTTTAAATACAGTGAATAATATCAACCCCAATGCAATCAACAACGATAAATGATCTTTATTTATTGTGATATCAATATCACAAAAGCTCTTTTAAGTCCTATACAAAATTTATATCCATCTATACTACTAAWAATTTTTACCATGTATAAAGTACCAGTGTAGCTTAGACAATAGTCTAGTTGATAATTTTGATCTAGTAAYGTAAGCATTGTAGGCAATTCTGTTAACATTAAGAACAAATGTTGCGCTTATTGTGATAAATTGTTGTAGAGCTCATTTCCAATGTGCAGGATTTGYTTYAAATCATTAGACTTGTGTATTCCTTTCATTTCTTTCATATAGTGATAGTGAATGCACATAGACTTTTTGCAACACATTTTGACCAGCATGAAATATCCCTAAATATCATGTTTCTTTGTCTGTGCGGTGCCTGAACACTAGGATCAACATTGTAAACTGTACAACATTTGTACAACATTTTTCTTTGTCATTGAAAACCCATGCACATGCAAAAATGGGGAAAGATGCTAAGCTTTCAGTCAGGCTTTGAGTAGTTGGATACTTGAACAATAAACATGACAAAAACCTTGCCGAATGGATCTTTATAAGTACTGTGTATCATAAGTATAACTAGACCCTGTATGCAGGGTTGACACGTACCCTTTGTTGTGCATGATGTTGTGAGATCATTAGTAAACTAGACCCTGTATGCAGGGTTGACACGTACCCTTTGTTGTGCATGATGTTGTGAGATCATTAGTAAATGAGGCCTTAAACCTTACTGATACAGAATAAAGAAATTATTTGATCCATCGAGCYTTGCCAAGATATATGTGATTTTTGCGATAAGCTTATATGTGGTGGCTCTTAAAATTTCAGCTGTAACTGCCTTTGTGATTCTGCAGTATAATTTTAAGGTCAGATATACCCGGAGATATATAACTAGGCATGATTTGGTTACAACGTGACGCTTTATTCACTTTTGATATGATAGTAACACAATATTTTTGCACATCTACATTAAAACTCGACATATCTATTGCAGATGTTTGAATAGCCATGGAATTAATAAGCATTTTCTAAAGAGTTGTATTGATATTCAATCATTGGAACCCAATCACTATATCGTTGCCGTTGCTTCACGAGTAGTAAGCGTGTTGATCTCTGTAGTGAGATCTCCTCGTCATCACAATTCAACATACCCTTGGTCCGAACACCCAGACAAGTAATGAGTTCCAGATTTTGGTCGTAAACCTTCATGTTCTGTTCCATATTCGTTAGTAGAGACAATATTCATCAAAATGGCGGATAAAACATTGTGCAGAACGAGTTGGAAATGTTGCGAACGGGATTATCGACAGGCTATAGCGTTCGGAATACACAACGTAATGTGATTGGCTACCGGATATATAATTCACAATGTGATTGGCTACGAAGATGTACCGAAGCCAAACTTTCGACATTGTGAAAAAAAAAAACAAAAAACCAAGAAAGTGTCAGCATTTTACTACACGTACCCCCTGCATAGCAGGGTACGTGTAAT